GGTAATGTGGGGTGGGGTAAGGTAGGGTATAGAGTAGGCTGCGCAGTAGCAGGGAATCGTAGGGTAGGGTAATGTGGGGTGGCGTAAGGTAGGGTATAGAGTAGGCTGCGCAGTAGCAGGGAATTGTAGGGTAAGGTAATGTGGGGTGGGGTAAGGTAGGGTATAGAGTAGGCTGCGCAGTAGCAGGGAATTGTAGGGTAAGGTAATGTGGGGTGGGGTAAGGTAGGGTATAGAGTAGGCTGCGCAGTAGCAGGGAATTGTAGGGTAAGGTAATGTGGGGTGGGGTAAGGTAGGGTATAGAGTAGGCTGCGCAGTAGCAGGGAATTGTAGGGTAGGGTAATGTGGGGTGGGGTAAGGTAGGGTATAGAGTAGAGTGCGCAGTAGCAGGGAATTGTAGGGTAGGGTAATGTGGGGTGGGGTAAGGTAGGGTATAGAGTTGTGTGAGCAGTAGCAGAATAGATTATGGTAGGGAGGGTAATGTGGGGTGAGGTATGGTAGGGTAGAGAGCAGGAAGAGCACTAGCCGGGTAGGGTAGGGTAGCATAGAATAGGGTAGTGTGACGTAGGATTAGGTAGGTTGGAGTAATGTGCGGTGGGATGAAGTAGAGTGGGGTAGGGCAGGGTGGCGGGGCGTGGTTGCGCTGGGGTGGAGTAGAGACGGGAAGTGTAGACTAGGGCAGGGTGGCGTGGGTGTGTTGGAGTGGGGTGGGGTAGGGTGGGGAGGCGTAGAGTACGGTGTAGTGTTTTGGTCATCTGAGAAATCGATAAGTAATCAAATTAGCGTCGCGTAGCGTGACAGTATGGCTACCGAGTGTAGAGTAAGTCGTGTGCGCGCTTGAGCGAGGACGGACACTGGTGCGACACTCACGCTGCCGCGCGCGTGCCTTGCAGGTCAGACATGACTACACGGTCGTTGTCGTCGTTACCACGACGCCCCCTGTACTGACCATCACATCTAGGGCTTATGAAGCCAAGTGCAAGTACGTGTTGACCGGCAAGGCGAATCCATCGACGCGACTCACCGTCGAGTAAGTGACGTGGCAATACCGTCGAGAAAGGGTGTAGTAGTCACGGTTTGTTGATAGTATGCGCACCGAGCATGAGATATGTGAGGAGTGAATTAAAACTATCTCTCTCTCTTTCTCTCATCCCTTCTCTCAATATAATATATATATATATATGTGTGTATGTGTGTGTGTGTGTGTGTGTGTGCGTGTGCGTGTGCGTGCGCGTGCGCGTACGTGTGCGTGCACGTGTACGTGTGCGTGTACATGTGCGCGAGCGCGCGCGGTGACAACGTCGATAGTTAGATGTATAGCAACCTGAGGGTTGCTAGATGACAGAAACGATTGCTCCTTGACAATATTATTGTTGGACGACACTTTGGGTTGTTTGGCGAGAATGTCGGTTGTTTGGTGACAATGTCGACTGCAAACTCTAGTTGATTTTCACGTTACAGTGAGATTCCCGTCATTTCGATCACAAAACAAGCGAAGCCGACCAATCTGAGTTTGAAGATCTTCGACGTCAGAGGTCGAGAGGTCATCGATGTTAACCTGGGGCAAAAGCTTATGCTCACTGCGTTCGTGTCCGGTGAGTGAAACATTGCATCCTGTATTGGAGCGCGGTAAACCTCTACCTCTACCGCAACCGTTGGTACTGCTGGCATGATGTGCTGTGCTATGATATATATATCATATATAATATAAATAATATAATATAATATAATATAATATAATATAACATAAAATCATATCATATAATATATAACAACGGTCTCTTATATAATAATTAGATGATTAAGATAATATGGCAGTAAAACATTATGATTTTTTAATATCTGACCCCATGATTATATAATATAGTTTAGCGCCATACAAATATCCGTACGTACGACTAATGCCACCCTCTCGCCACCCACGGTAGATGGCTACGGCGTCTTCGTGCGCAACTGCGACGCCGTGTCGACGCGCGACCTCAGCGCGAGTCTACAGCTGCGTCGCGCCGCCGGAATGTCCGGCGATCACGGACCATCAGTCGGCACCTTCCGGCCGCTGCGCACGGGTAACGGTGCCGTCGCCGTGCTGGAGAGCTTCAAGTTCCCGGGAGCCGACACGGTCGTCATAGAGTGCGAGGTGGAGGCGTGCCTGGGCAGGTGCAGATCGGTACGTGTTACTATAGTTACAGGGATGCTGGCAGGTGCAGATCGGTACGTGTTACCTATAGTTACAGGGATGCTGGGCAGCGTTGCAGCATCCCGTCAGCGTCGTTACGATAGATTTAACATGTGCTTGGTGGGCGGGGCGA